TAATAGCCCATGATAGTACTGCTCATCCGCTAGTGATTTATCAACCATTGTTTCCTTAAATTTCTCATGCTTTTTGTTGATCATGCTAAGTCTCAAACTGCTACCTGGTGGCAATATACACCGCCTCAGCCTTCAACCCTCCTGAATTACGAGATGCCCCTGCAGTTTTTTATTTCTATTACCGTAAGACCAAAGCCAAAGCAAGGAGTCTGCTACGGGGAGAAAACGGGGACAGAGAAAATGAAGCAGACTTGAAGGATGCGCCTCTTTTTATCAGAAGACATGAAAGAATCATCTGTTATCAAAGGAAAAAATATACTGGGGAAAATATTAAACGAAAAAAATACTCCGCGCAAATTGTCAAGCACAAACCTAAACGTACGTTTATTATGAAAGTGAAGCTATTGCAGAAAGGGGCGCATTTTAGTCAAAAAATTTAAAATCACAGAAGCGTTAGAGATAATGAAAGTTCACGTCGACGGCCTTAATATTTCGGCGTCTGCGCTCACTACTACGTTTGTTTCGGGTAATCAAAAAATAATAAGGAACAGCCCTTCTGCTATCACAAGCACCAGGAGAAACAATACCAAAATTTTTGACACTATCATTTAAAACCATGAGATACAAGGAAGCGAATAACGACATCCAAAAATGCCCTTCTTTCACTGCAAAAATAAATATGTGTAAGGTTATTGCTCGTTGTTGATTTGTCTCCACCGCCAATTTCATTTCACTTCATTTATTCGTTCACCAAATAGGACACATACATACCTTTCATAGATACATGTTCTACATACAATTCTATTACGCAATATGCAAGGTTCAAGAAGTAGTTTGAAAGCAGACTAGGACAGTTCGAGCGAAAGAGATCAGCAAGTATGGTACCGGTAAGTGAAACGGAAGAAGTGATAGACTGGTAGCAGTAGAGAAGACAAGCAAACTTCTGTCAGTAATAAACAGCATCAAGCAAAAAATAAGACAGTTATAAACTCAACTGACACCATTCAGAATTAAAACGAAAGTGATTGTATCATAACTGATGCACAATACATTCTCAAAATGACTTTTTATAGTACACTCGTTTAATGTGAGTATTTTCAGCACTGACGTAAGATGCTTTTTTGGTATGCAAAATAAGGCCAGTGATTGCCAGATGCTTGGATTCAAAAATCTCTACAGCTAAGATAGTACCATTGGGAAAATACTTCGAAACAAAATCCAACAGGGCAAACTAAATTTCAAAATAATTTACACACAGCGCATCAAATTTCTTCCATGCAAACTGTTGTAGTGCTGAGAGTAATACAGCCCCTCGCCCCCTTCGTTTGTTTTTTTGTGAACTATGAGATGGCAATCGATTGCGATGCGTTGAATGCTACGGTACGAACTTTTTGAAACGAAGGAGCAGACGAGAGCGACGCTGAAGTACGGTAAGAGATGAATAATGCGAATTGTTCGACTGAAAAACCACTCCTATCCACACACCTATAAGGACAAGAATGGGACACAGTGATTGCTCATCGTCGAGCTTTTTACAGATTGTCTTTCAACTACACCAAAGTTGGCCTGTACATCTACAGCAAACAGCTAGGCCACTTACTCTCAGGAGACTACGTAGTTCAGTTTGCGGTTAAAACCCACAAAGTGAACAAGATGCTGTAAGAAAAAGTAAAGCAGCGGATCTGAAAAATGAACACATCGGCAGCGAGGGTGTTGGAAAGCTAGCGTTATCATTAGACTGCAGGAGGTAGATGTGCAGAAATTGAGAAGCCCAGAAAATAAGCCAACGACAATCATCAGCTAGAAAGCGCGCGTCCAAAGGTTATTGGTTGGAGAAAATTTCATGATGTTTTCAACACTATTAGATTGTAGAAAGGGAGGGGATGTGCGAGCTCCTTCGGGATCACCCAGTTCGAAGTGCTAACGAATGAAAGTAAAATAAACCCACTAACTGAAGCAGAAGCGCCAGGGCTGGGATGACGACAAAGCACAATGCTTATGGACTACGGGTATTTATGTTCATACAGATAAATTTGACGCCAAATTACATGAGTGCCATGCGGGAAATCGTTAATTACGAGAGAAAATAGAATCTGATGAACTCGTTTGGTAAACAGTCAGTGAGCGGTGGCATGTGATTAAAAAAAAAGAACGCTCAGACGGTGTCGAAAGGTACGGGGTGCGATTTGTAAACATGGTAAGGATGGAACGGAAAAATGGTACTCAAGAAAGAAGGGCCTAGAATAGCTGAACCTCCTAACATGTAGGTGCATCCTAACTACATTGCTAACATTGGATTCAGGTAGTAAAATGGATTATTTTTTAATTCGGGCTGCAATGCATTTATTTTTTATGAATTTGGGTAGCAATGCATTATTTCTTAAGAGATTTCTATAGAATGTTTCTTGCTGTTGTTGTTCCAAGGAACGTTTTCAATTTGTTTCATGACCTCGAAAATTTCTGATTGCGACACTGCTTTTCACGTCAATAATTTAACTGACCGAGCTCATAAGATGAACGACAGTTTGTTTATGGACCACGCTCAAACAACAACTCGATACTTACAACTATGAAGCTGACAATGAATACCATGTCTCTAGCGACAGCTTATATTTCCCTTCACTAATTTCTATGCAAAAATCTCGTTTTATCAGGTGCCGCATTAAAAACTTCAAATAATAAAAACTGCAACCCGAATTCAGACTATTTCGCAGTGATATGTGATGAAGCCCCACAAGTTTAAATTCATAGCTTCTTTATTCCTTCTCGGCTTACAAAACTAATTTAAATTTAGACCTAAAGCGGAAAATTGAGGCATAGAAGAAGTTAGATCCGGGTTACTGCATATGGTCGTGAAAGTAATTTTCCAAAATTTCATTTCCATAATCTTTACAGCTCCTGTATTCCATAAGAGTCACAGAGGGATATACTTGAACAGAGTGTACAACCGCATGCACAACTACATTCACGGCTAGCTCTGGAGACATATTTTTAT